GTGTGTGTGTGTGTGTGTGTGGGTGTGTGTGTGTGTGTGTGTGTGTTTGTGTGTGTGTGTGTGTGGGTGTGGGTGTGGGTGTGGGTGTGGGTGTTGTGTGTGTGTGTGTGTGGGTGTTGCGTGTGCGTGTGCGTGTGCGTGTGCGTGTGGGTGTGGGTGTGTGTGTGTGTGTGTGTGTGTGTGTGTGTGTGTGTGTGTGTGTGTGTGTGTGTGTGTGTGTGTGTGTGTGTGTGTGTGTGTGTGTGTGTGTGTGTGTGTGTGTGTGTGTGTGTGTGTGTGTGTGTGTGTGTGTGTTGGTGTGTGTGTGTTGGTGTGTGTGTTGGTGTGTGTGTTGGTGTGTGTGTTGGTGTGTGTGTTGGTGTGTGTGTGTGTTGGTGTGTGTGTTGGTGTGTGTGTTGGTGTGTGTGTTGGTGTTGGTGTTGGTGTTGGTGTTGGTGTTGGTGTTGGTGTTGGTGTTGGTGTTGGTTGTGGGTTTGGAAGGCACTCTTTGAGGGTGCAAAGAAACCTGCTTTTGGGTCACGCTGCAGTTGAAAACGGTCTTCCGTTTCTGGCTCCTAGCTGCTAGCGAACAGTTGGAGCGAAGTGGAGAATTATTTTCGCCTGAGAGGTAATTAGTGAGCAGGTTCTGCATATATGTAAGCCTTTCGCGCGTGAGTGGCGTGCCTTGGTTGCTGATGATGTTCAACCCTTTGCAGGCGCAAGAGGGATGTCAAACATCAACTGCGACCGAGCATCTAGATCCAAATCCCCCTGGAATACCCACAGTACCAAAAAAAAACAGGTTGTCACCCTGTCCGCATCTTGTGAGAGCCGGTCAATACAAGGCAAGGCATGCCCGACAAGCGGCCGCAGAGCTGGTTCCTTGGCAAGGGAGCGGCTTTGAGGTGGTTTTTGAGGGGCTTCGCGGTTTAGAGGGCTCAGGTCACAGGGGAAGTGTGAGGTTTGGGGCGAAGCCTCCCACCTCCCGCCACCCATAGCCACCAAGAACGAAAGTAAGCAGTCTCAGGCTGGGTGAACCCAGGGGTCCGTCAATTTGGTTTTATTGGTTTGAGCTTCTGCTATGCAGGAACGCTGTAGCCCGCCTTCTTTGCAGAGTTCTTACCGTTGGGGGAGTAAGGATTTCTGAGACGCGCTGTGGGTCTTGGCAGGCATGCCACTTCTCTGGCAAGGTCGTGGTGCCAGACGTTCAAGGGCATCTCGACTGCAAGCTCCCGGCTTGGGGATGTCAACTAAACCCTAAACTAACCCTAAACCCTAAACCCTAAACCCTAAACGCACAGCTGAGAGCTGAGGAAGGTTTCGGGGCAACACGTCCTGGTCATGGACTGGGTGGACTCACTGGGCCCTGCCAGCGACAGCCGCGCTTTGCAGAAAGCGGGGCTCCGGCCTGCCGACGTGATGCGGACGGCAACCGAAGCCCCCGGGGCCCATGTTTGAGGAAAGCTTGCGTGCTTTGAGTTGTAAACCGAGCTGGGAAACCTGATTCTGAGCAGTCAAGAAAGCTCAAGTTTGCTTGGGTTTCTGTTTTGGCAGCCCACAATGGACAGGGGACTTTTCGGCCCCGGTTGCTCTTTTGCATTTTCGGGCGGGCGTAGCACGCTTGACCAATCGAGCCAGGTATTTGGGTACCAGATCTTCAGCACTGGCCATGTGCACTGCGACCCCCACCCTGGCAACTTGTTGGTGCGCTTGGCTCCTGCAGGAAGCTCACAGAAGTGGCAGCTGGTCCTTCTGGATCATGGCCTTTATTGCGAGTTGAGCCCCAGCCTGCGTGCTTTGCCTGCGACTAACATACGAACAAAAACTGCCGCAATTAAGAGCCACAAAGTACATGATAAATAGCATCATGTAGCATCATGTGTGGCTGGTAGTACAGCTTGTTGCTGTTGAGTTGTCCGACAGGTCGCGACTACGCGGACTTTTGGGTCGCTGCTGCCTTGGGTGACACGGACACAACGGTTCAAATCTGCAAACGTTGGGGCATCGCTGATCAAGATGCTGCGGAGCTTTTCGCCTCCCTGACCCAGTTCCGACGCGTACGCTTAGGGGCCCAGAGACTGGATGCCATGGCTTCCTTGTTCGGATCGCAGCGCAAGACGCGGGCTGATGTGCTGCCACATGCACCGAAGAAGCTCACTGCGAAAGCGATGGCAGAAGCCCAGCAGAAGCTCAAGGCTCGTGCCAAGAAGGTGCTGAGCGATACGGCCGCCTTCCCACGAGAGTTGGGTGCTTAGCTCTTCTTACTATTTCAGTGTTACTGGCTCTGCACGCGCCTACTGCCCTGCACCACCTGACCTCAAGAAGCCTATTCCCTGAAACCGCTTGGCACGTACACCAGACAACGACCGCTGTGTTGACTTGATCTGCTTTACAGGCTTCTCTTTGTGGGGCGGAGCCTGAACATGATCCGGTCCGCCAACTTTGCGCTGGGCACCGCGGTGAATCGCGTGGCCATCTTGGCAGAGTGTGCAGCGGCAGGCCATGATTGAACTGAAAAGCCTCAACAACCCACCAAGACCTCAGTATTACTGACAACTGCCCTGGAAAGCTCAAATGTGGTTCGATGCTTGCAGGTGCCACACTCCAGGGCGGGTCGCTGGCTTCCAGACGCATGGCCGTTTGGAATTTCCACCTCCGCCACTCGGCCCCAAGTCTATCAAAGAGCCACAAGAGCTTATGCCAGCCTTTCCACATCTCTAGACTCAAAAAGCACAATTGAGGAGTTCAGTGTCTCCTCTTCCTCAGCAAGCTTGTCCAGATCTGGCAGGGCCTAAGCTCCTTTGGATTAGCCCCAGCTGTGCTGGGGCTCACTGGCCTCTTGCTGCGGGTGTCCACAGGAACAGCGCCTCGGTCGCTTGTGTCCACATTGTGCCTTCATCTCAAGATGATGTTTGCCTACGTTCTGGGCTGAGGTGCTCAGCAAGGACCCCAAAGGCAGCACACTCCGGGAGATTCCAGGCCCGGAGGCTGGAGGCTGAGGCACCGTGGGGGCCCTGGCATCTGAGCGGGCCCAACATGCACGCTACAGGCCACAGACCACACATCCGGAGTCCCTACATCTAGTCGGGAGAAGGTGTAAGACTTTGTGTATCTTTCTGTCATCCAGGTGATCCCCACTTGCTGCAAGTGAAGGCTGAGCATCAGACGGCCATAGTAGAACCGAGGCAAGGCAAAAGATGATCTTGCATCATCCTGACTCAACGTATGTAGCGGAGACCGCCTCTGATGTCCCATGCGTATTCCGAGTTCTCTACAATTCAGCAGACTTGCCTCGCAAGCGTGTTGCGAGTGAGCAAGAACCTTTTCCAGCGTGACTTAGTCAATGCTGCCCTTTCTCAGCCCCGCGATCTGAAGTGGCTACTCGAGCTGTGGGCGCCGACTCTTTGCACATGTCGTTCACAAGAGGCACAATACTGAAAGAGACGGAACCAGAAAGTTCCGCAAGCCATCTTACAGACCGGGCCCTGCCAGAGGCAGAGGCAGTCTGAGATGGAAAGATGGCAAGGGAAGCTTCCCAAAGCTTCTGACGCTGGGTGCGTTATGTGCACATCCAGGTGAAAAAGTCTGCACATGCCCCCCCGGCTTGCCCTCTAATTAGTCCTAATTTGTTTCTTTCTGCTTGAGAGCATGGCCCCGTCAACTTCAATCTGCTTCAATCTGCTTCGATTGACCCAAGATGAAGGCGGCTATAGAGGAGGAGATGCTGAGCGCAATGGCTCGCCTCTCAGAGCTTCACAAGACCTAAGTGGTGGAGAGGCTTTTTGTACTGAATGGAGAAGTCCGGCACTCAAGCAGATCCCAAAACTCTGAATCGGCACCCGCTCCTGCGGATCCAGCCGCGTACTGGTACCACGCAGTTGAACCGTTTAAGCACTGTCCGGGTATTCTTAAGTCGCAGTCAAGACAGCATGCTTGTCCATCGCTCTGGCGAGCTACACGAGCCACGATGCTCCCACGGGGCTGCACATTTCCGAGGTAGTTCGAATCATGGCTTGGTACCCATTTTATGCTTCACTCTCAGATACCGGGTTCCCGGGTTCTAGTCACGGCCCATGGCTGCCCAATGCCTCGAGCGGAGGTCATCACGCTGATCTTCCTGTGCGTCCAGTATTTCTCCTATAGTGCTTGGGACTGGACAAGCTTCATGGCTGGATGCTCAACATGCCGCGTACAGCGAGCTGTTGTGGAATCTTGAGTGTCGCCTTCCCTGACACAGGCACACGTCTTCCTCATCAGCGGCGGCTTCCAGGAACATCGCGAGGACGAGTTGACATTGATTATGATCGCATATCAGCTTTTGGACTGCTTTTGAGTAGCCATACAAACCTGCTGGCCGACTAATCGCGCGAGGCTGTCTTTCCATATATGCCCTGCAGTTGGTGGTTCACGTGTCTTGCCGCCGGGCACCCAGCCGCACCCGCATGGCAGAGCCCGCAGCCTGAAAGGACCCATAGAGCCTGTTCATGCCAGTAGTGATCAGTAGTGTGCCGTATAGAACTGATCAAGTCGTGCATGCCGCTTCTTCCGGCATCCCCTGCCCAGATGCAAAGAAAGAAGCCAAGGCCTACACCCTTGCTTGGCTTCCCATGCACAATATCTTGAAGATCAGCAGCGACTCCGTCATTTGGACCATGTTTGTCATGGCAACGGCGGCTTTCTCCTGAGCTTCTGAGCCTTCTTACCCAGCGCAGTTTCCTCTTGCACTGCGCATGAGTGCCTCCGGCAGTTGCCCACAAAAGGTGCCCGACCCCACTTCAGGGTTACGACTACTAGGTTAGTAGCCCCCGTCCTTTTTTCCATGGTCTCAGAAGCCGCGAAGTGTGGCTTGGAGATGCTCGGAGTCTTGTGGGCGGAGGTTGTGATCCCATCGGTGCTACTGGAGTGGCTTTTCTTCAAAGACATGGCCATATTTGAGCTCTTGCAGCCCGGAAGCCCAGTTTGCAGCAGAGGCTTAAAATGGCTCAAATGGGTTTAGGGTTGGGAATGGGACAGGATGTCGTGGATGCAGTCCAAGGCAAAGCCCCACAGCACGTGTGGCACGTTGCTTCTGAGGTACAGCTTCGCCTTCTTCTACGGACAGGCCTTGGCCGTATGGCAGGCGGGTTCATCACAAGCTACTCGTCGTGAGGGCACCCAACGTTGCCAATCCAACCCTGGATCCATAGCCGTCCATCATTGAATTGTTGTTGGCTCTTGCCAGGTGAACCACTGTATGTTGCTACAAGTGCAAACAACAGCACCTTCACGTCAGCTCCGAATCCTCCAGTGGGGCCCTCATTTGGGAGCAGGCTCCGTTCCCAGAGGTAAGCGCCTAGAGTCCTTTAGCCACACAGTGACACTGGCCCCTGCGCGTTACACGGTTGGCAGGTTCCTGTTGCCTGAGATGAGTTCAAAAAATTTCGAAGAGTACAACAGCATGGCCAGCTTACCGCAGAGCTTCCCGGCTCAGGGATCGGGAAGATGTGGATGGCCCCCCACCCCTCGCCAAGCGATGGTGGGAGCTACTCCCGGGGATGGCATTTGCCTCAGCTAAGGCGAACTCCACAAGTGCCTCAGGCAATTTGCACAGAAGTTTTGCGACTGTTGCCCGTGTTGACCGGATCTGATGGCTGCCACCTGCGGTTCCGCAAGGCGTCAATGCTCCGCTAATGCTTCCTGCAGCGCCCAAGTTGTCCGCAAATGCCCAATAAAATATCTGCAAGGTCACCATCGCGGCTTCATCAGTAGAAGGCTTGCCTAGCGGAGCGCAAATCGAGCCTCCGAAATTTGCAGACACTTGGCAGCAGTTTGCACTGTTGGTCGACCTTGTTGGGGCTACCCAGAAGAAGTTCAGAGTCACCGGGTCGTCGTTACAATGCGGAAAGTTTAGCCCCAACCGCTGTTAACACCCAGAATCAAAAAACTCACACCTCAGGACTTGCAGAGTACGGTCTTGGACTGGCCTGATGGATCAGGAGAATCAGGAGCGCCACTGTTCCAGGCTCAGGTTCATGAGGGGGATGCTTGTCTATAGTGTTGCCATGCATTGTTACGTGAGGTGAAGTTTTTGTGCCAAGGCCGGCGGCGGATGTACCGAAGAATGAGCTTGCAAGATCAAAGAAACTCAACAAGGGCAAAAACCCAGCCAAAAAAGCTGGCGTGCCCTGGATGAATGGAGCTCCTGAAGCCAAAGCCATCAGGTTTGGGGGCGAAGCAGCATGAAGCAGCGAACCGTACAAAGAAGCAAGCTCAGGTTCAGAAGTACGACGCCAGAGGTCATCGGGTGCGGCGTTTCGTTTGCAAAAGCCCCCTCTTCCAAAATTCCCATTCTGCAGGAGCCAGCTTGCAGCACTGAAAGGCCAGCCCTAAACCCTAACCCTTAAACCCTTAAACCCTTAAACCCTTAAACCTAAACCTTAAACCCTAAACCGTTAAACCTAAGTGCAGTGCAAAGAACTTTAGAGCCGCTCCAAAGGCACCGCAAGGAGGCAAAGCAGAAACGCCCGCCAGCGGAAGTGGCTTCTGGCTTCGGTGAGCTTGAGACCTCGGAGGCCGATTCTATGACTATTACTAACAGTTATTTTGTTGATACTAGTATTATTGTTGTTTATTCTGTTATTATTAGTAATAATGGAAGGGTTTATCTTGTGTACGGATCCAGAATGCCAGTGGGTTTGGGATGGCTTCGGATTCACGGGATTCTTTAGATTTGGGGTAGATTTTGTTTGGCATGAAATGTGCACCTCTCATTGGGCTGGAGGGCACGGAACAGCCTGGACCGGAGACTACGGCTGCAGAGGCTGGGTGCGGCGAAATTGCAGGCTGTTTCGAGCGTGGCCTGTGGTAGAAGGGCAAGGTCTCAAAGACCCACAGAAGCCAACCGTGTGCTCCCTGCCCGGAGGTTGAAAGCGACACTAAAGCCCCACGACCTCCAAGGTGCCAGCGTTCTTGCGAAACGGATGTGCATGGATGTGCCGTTTGCATTGGCAGTTTTAGCGCAGCATTGTATGCCATTGGGTGTCTGATGAATGCAAAGCATGTTTGCAGCGCCTTCTGTGGTGGTCGTTGACAACAGGCGCCTTCGCAGCTTGCTCCTACAATTTCCGCTTGTCGCTTGTTTTGGACGTCTGTCCGTCACAGAAGCCGGATTGTGCAGCGTACAATGCCCTTTTGCCTGACACTTTCTTCAACTGTTTTGCTGTCAGCGACAGCGCTCGCCGCGTACCCCACCAACTACCATGTTTTTTTGGTTGGGTAAGCGCAGTCCAACTCCAGCTTTTGCAGTTGTTTGTCAGTGCAGGGTTGCACTGTTGGTTGGGGCTCGTAGCTGCTGTCGGCCCTCAGTGCAATTGCTACCGGTATCAGCTTGCTGCCAGGGGACCGGCTGTCATGCGTGACCCCCCCGGCGTCGGATCTAGTTCTTGCGGGCGAATATTGCGGCTTTGTCAGGGAAAGAAGCTAAGGCAAGCTGTTGGGGTGAGGGGGAAAGGGATGGGAAAGGGTGCCTGCTCCAGACGCCTGTTGGCCGGGGGTGGGGCGAATACACAAAATGACCGATGTAGCCAGCCACTGGAACACCAAAGCCAACCACAAGAAGGCGTGCGAGAAATATGACGTGTTTGCTGGCGAAAATGAACAAATTCTTCAGCTGATAGCTCTGGTCCTTTACCTCCTTTACATTATTCGCTCAAGCAGCGCCTGGCACAAAGTTGAACTCTTTCAGCTGCAGCAGGCCTGTGGCACCCCGCGCGCCTGTTTCGGGCACTGCGGGCAAGCCCACTTCGGCCCTGCTGTCCATGGCAAGGCGACACTTCTGCGACCAGGGACAGGCTGTTCCGAGGATTCAGGCTTTTGTTGTTCCATTTTGGGTTCGGGGTCGGGCGTAAAAACGTAAAGGAAGGACGAAGACATGTCGGCCAAGCAGGTCAGCAGGACACGTTGATTCGACGCGTTGCGCTGAGGTCGGCGAAGAGCTTCTCACCTCCGAAGCGAGCCTACAAGAGCATGTCAAGTGCAAAGCTGGAGCCACTACAACCACTGCAACCTGACAAGGAGCTACCGCGACTTTTGCTTTGGCATGTCACACGCCCACACGTCGCTTACTTCCGACTTTTCTCGACTTTGGCACAGGAGTCGCAGCTTGCTTTCGGAGAGGCTCATTGGCTGACAAGACGCATCTCGAAACATGGGCTAAAGTGCAATGTAGCTGTAGCTTTTCTTTCAACCTGCCAGACTGCGGCCGTCATATAGTTGGAGATGACACAGGGGTTGTTGTCATAGTCACAGTGCTGGTAAATTCGGTAAGTTTTGCAGGCACCTTTATTGGCGGACCCCTTGTCGAAATTCAGTCTGGGTCCACATGTGGATGTCCGCTCACGGCACCTCGGCTGCAACGCAAGCGTCGAACATCTCAACTCCGCAACAGTCAGAGACGTTCTTGCGCCGGCTTCCTTACGCCACTAGAAAGAATGTCCTTCGACAGTGTTTTGATGTTAGGGGGCACTATGCTTTACCATGCGACCATGCCACACAGCATGTCAGAGCAAAGGCCTCCAAGCAATTCGAGCTTCAGCCACGCTGGCAGCGGTCTGGTCCGGGCAGCCTCCGCAGCGTCAGTGGGTCCCCTCCGCACTTTGGCCACAAGCTTGCGTCATTAAGAGTTTTGTGGTAGCGGGTGCATCGGAACACGTTGTGAGAAAGTCCGGGCTTCGGAGCGCCATGGGGCAAATTGGATGTTCTGATGCCAAGGTTTTTTTAGCAGTGAACTTGAAACGCCAGCCCCCCATGATGCACCTTTCAGCCTGGGAACAGCCACACAGGACGTGATATCCCGGTACCCTCGGCGCTGCACCCGGGAAGCTTCCAGCGCAGAGCGCGGCACATGGACGCCGTAATGGACCTTCGGCACCTCCAGGCTGCCTTTAAAGAGGAATAAGAATTGGACTCCCAATGCTGGTGGCACCGGGAATGAAAGAAAAAGAACGAGGAAGACAATGATGACATTAACAGAAAGAAGAAATGAGCATCAGTCACAACTGGCGGCTCTTGTGAGTTTCTCAAAGCGGGACACCAAGTTTAAAACCTTGTAAAGCAACGGAGCCACCTGAAAATCCGACACGTCTGAACCCTCATAGCTTGGAAAGGATGCTTGATTTGATTTCAAATAAAGCGATGCCTAAAGTCCCAAGCGACCGCAGTTTTGGTGCCCAAAGTGCCTCGGAAAGGCCCTGGCCGCCCCTGGCCCATCCAACACCTCATCCTCTTGCTGGGGTCCTACAGATTGCACGGGATGCTTCGAAGACCCCATCACGACGGCAGGAAGGGTTTGCAGCAGTCATCTCGCAACACATCGAACCAGCAGAGCAACGCCCCAAGCTCTTCTGGCAACATGCATGGCGACAAAACCCTTGTAAGCGACGGGACGACCTGAAAATCGACGGGACATCCCCTAACACGCGTCCATCACAGTTTGAACACAGTTTGGACGGGCCCTCAAATGGTTGTCACGAAAGTACGAAAAATCATTGAGGTGACCAAACAACGTGCTAACAGATGCTGTGCCGGAAGAAGCGCAGCAATGAAATCTCAGTGGTTGTCTTTCGCACATCTCACGTGTTCTTGAAAGACGTTGATTGCATGCCACGCTGCACGGGACATGATATCATGCTGCATGTGCTACGTGAAAGTGTCCTAACCGGTATTGTGATTGACATACCTTCGGGCTCATGGCTTGGAGGAGAAAATCCGCAACCCGAACTGCAGCGAGGACATGCCTACGTTGTCAAACACACCGTGGCTCTCAAAAGCCTCAGGCGCTGAGAATCTATAGTATAAAACCTAGAACCAACAAGGTCACTGCGAAAATGCCTTCTGCTTCTGCGGCACTGTCAGCGCAGGACAAGAAGATTCAAGTTGCCGACCTCGCAATGCGAGATTTGCGCCCAACCAGCTGCAACAAGATCTTTCTCGGATTAGACCAATTATATATTCGCATAATTGGACCTGCCCCGCAAGCCGCATGCTCAGGCGCCGATCTCAGCCACATGCTGAAGAGGCAGCACAGGGGTCGATGGTTCTTGCACGTTTCTTCCTGACCAAGCTTGCCACTGAACCGTTCGGTATGGAATGCAGCTCAGCTGCAGTCGTGCTACCTGCAGGTCCGCGGTCAAGGTGCAGTCGTTTGCCCAGCCTGTTTCAGCACCTCGATCAGTGGATGACGTGCCCCTTGGATTTTGCATCCAACCCAATCATCACTGTGTGGCAAGACGTTCAAAGTTGCAGCAAGCCAGAGAGTCCAGGCACCCACACAGAGACTTCTTCCAGACAGTCCTGATGGCCTTCTTGAATTGAATGTAAGATATGTAAGGTTCGCCAGCCAAGTCGCCAAGTTCCAGGAACCCCTCACTGCAGCGCAGAAAGTCGTCCAACCTGCGCGGGAGAGGGGCTCCACAGCTGCCTCTACGACACAGGATGACGAGGAGGTCAGGCCACCGCAACTTCTCCACCGTTGATGTGGTTAGCTTGGAGTGTGCACCAGTCACGAGCCTTTGTCAGGACTATTTTGGAGAGGATCCCCCGGATATTGATGTGGGCGAAGATGAAGCAGGCATAGGCATCCACAGTCGAGTCAGACCTGTCGATGTTGGTGGATGCTGGCGAGCTTCTGCTAAAACTGCTTGTATCTTAATCCCCATTATTGCTGGGAGAGCGGAACGGCGCACGAATGGAGCAGCATCTGTGGCGATGTGACCGGAGGTGGCGAGACACGGCAACCTACATCCCCGGTTGCTTCAGAGCTGCTGTCACCCATAGCAGACAAACAGAAGGTGGGGCCAGTGTGACCGTGGGTCATGGGTACTTCATTCCGGGCTTAGACAGTACGCATCGGGTCAAGAATACGTTTCCCAGTGAAAGATGGATGCCATGGAAAGACATTAGGAACTTCATGCATGGTGCATTGCAGATGAAGTCAGCTTTGCGGCGACATTCTCGGGGCAGCGCGCGCGGGGACCTCATGCCTGGTGCACTTCTGCAGGATCGTGGGTTAGCAACTCTGGTCTTGCCACGGTGGTCGAGCTGTGTGGTGATGATACAGCATCTAAGGGGTAAGCTGGGAGCGGCTACCATATGAGGAGGCCTGCTGGTATGACGACAGGTGTCTTTTCCAAGTTTCTCCATGACAGTTTGCCCCAATCAGCTCTGAAAGCGCTGCATTGAGCATGTCCCACCAAAATTTTATTTATGCACAATGCAACATTGAAGGGCCATTGGTAGATGTCTGGATGTTTATGGTGCGTGCTTGGCCAGGGTGGCGCCGATGCAGGCTGGAGCGACGAGTTTGTTCTCAAATGAGCTCAAGACAAAAACAAACACAAAAACTGCATTTAAAGCTCCTCTCCCTGCACGTAATGCACTCCAGGCCTGGGGAGTCTGCCATTGGGAAGCTTGCCACTGGGCGCAGCAGCTGCCAGCCCTTTGGGCGCTGCCACTGCCCCTTTGGGCGCTGCCACTGCCTCTTTGGGCGCTGCCCCGGATTCGCTGCAGAAGTCCATCGTGACCGAACTGCTTTCTCAATTGCAATCTCTGAACAGCCTGTCCTGTAGCTGTAGCCATGTTCAGCCGCTGCAGGTTTATTTGCTTATGGCTCATCCTGTAAGACTCCCGAATCTCCCTGCTGCATTGATGCAAGTGAGCATGTCCGCGCATGGCGACGGTATGTTTCTGGAGCAGATTTGCACCAGACTATGTGATTGGGGTATGCTGGGGTTGGGGCAGCCTCTACCTGCACTATGCGAGAGGAGCAGCCAATCGTCGATCATGTCGTTCACAGGCCCTTCCGTGCGCGGGGGGGGGGGGGGGGGGGAGGGGTGTTCCTCGGTGATACAAGCAGGCCTCAGGGTATCGACACAAGTAAGCTCTTCATTGATTGCAGAAGTTCGAGATTATGCAGAGCCCCGGAACGATTCATGATTAAGCCTGACACACTCAAAAACGATGAAGAGTGACGCTAAATTGCAAACAGCAGGAGGCTCCAGCCTGCACTCTACAATGCATACCAAACTGAGACCCGATCCCTTATTGCAAGCTGACCTCTACATTCACATCTTGAGTCATCAGTTTGCATCCTGCGCGTTGGAGGTGACATCAGTGTGTCCGGTGAGATGATGCACAGAGTTTCCAGCATCATGACGCAAAAAGGCCAGCAGGTTTGAATTGGGGCTCTTGTGCAGCAGATACTGTGGGCTGGAGGTTGCACAACAAGTCCTCTTCCCTCATGTCACCTCGTGAGGACAGACGACAGGTTTGAAGGAGCCTTGATCAGCAATTGAGCTTTGAATCGCTAAGGGCTGCAAAAGAATCAGTGCTAGCAGAGTGTACTTTTGTACTTTTGGCGCATGTCCGTGGCTGTGTTGTCGAAGTCTCGACTATTGTGCTGCTGTGCTCTCCGGACCTGCTGGTCGACAACCGCCTGCTAACATCCTGTCTCGTTGCGGCGTGAGTCTGCCACATGGCCATAGATGCCTGTGGATGTCTGCTGCTCAGAACATCAAGAGAAGCTTCGAACCCACCTTGCGCAAGCGGCTGGGTGAAGCTTTCGCTCGCCCGACCCTTATTTTCAGGCAAGCAGCTGCATGCCGTGATGAGATCTTGAATGTGAATGGTGATATCAGAGCAGCATCCAACGAATGGCACTGCTCACGAAGCAGCCAAAAGTCAAGGAAGCAAATCAGTGCCTGCAGTCCTGCAGTGCTGAGCCATGTGCTTCGGGTCGGTTCAAATCGGTTCTGTGCTCAGGTCTGTGCGAAGCCAATGAATTGCACCGGGATTCCCTTCCACAGGCAGTTGAGTTGACAGGCTGGACGGTCACAGCCGAGGCTTGTCAGCGATTTACCAGTGATGTTTAGGGTTTAGGGTTTAGGGTTTGCTTGGGCAGTTTCTGGCAGCACCCACGGGAGTCCGGATGCAAAAAGGGTTTAGGGTCTAGGGTTTGCAGCGATGTTCTGCTGTGCTTGTTTCCCCATGTTTGCATGGAGAGGGGTGGACACATGGCTTGGAGCAAGCTTGCTGCATGTGTTTCAAAGCCTCCGGGTGGCAAGGAAGTCAAGCAGCTGATCAACTCAGCGTTCGACAGCCTCTTCCAGCCGCATGCTGCATGCTGGGCAGATTCTCTGGTGATTTTTGGATAGTTGAAAAATGGGCGGCAGCTGTCCGATTTGGTGAAGATGTACATAAGACCCTTGCATGTGGTCCACAGGTACAACACGCTGAACCAGAAAGAGTTCTTCCAGTTCTTTGAGAAGTTTCGGCAGCTCGAAAAGCAGCGTGCTTTCGAGCCCTGGATTGGTTCAGTCCTGCCGAATCCAGAGCTACTGACAGGTAGGACACACAACGGTCCCAGCCGTCCCTGTTCTTAACAATACGGCAAGTCTAGGTAAAGCAAGCCAATTCAACAGAATTCGTACGTCATTTCAGCAGAGTGGCTAAAGTTTGGTACCCGCTGTCGACTTGTATTCGCCTCTTCCATCAGCAAGAATTTCGCACCGTGTCAGAAGTTGTTTCCCAGGTAGGCCGCCTGAGCTCAGGAAGCCTTCAACTCCTTCGACGCAGACGCGAGCGGAACGATCGACTTTGACGAGCTCGGCGCGCTGCTGGAGTCACAGGCGAGAGGAGCCTATGGCTTGTGGAGCCGTATTCGTAGAAGCTGAAAAGTCTTCGCCTTCTCAGGGCATCTTCCCTCTCCAGCACGTCATATATGAGCTCGCCATGGTGTCGGGCCCAGCGGTCATGGCATGTGAGCGCGTGTTCGTTTGTGTCCTTCCACCTCGCTTCAAGCCGTGTTCAAGCAATGCACGGGTGCAAGGCTGCATCCGTGTAAGACTGCAAGTGTTACACCTCAACCACACCCCAGTTGCGCAGTTGCGTGCAGCTTTGGGTTCTCAATTGCTCAACAGTGATGTGCAGTGCCAGAGGTGCCCTGCATTGCCCTTTGGCCCAGGATGCCTGCGACGGCAACCTGGTCGATGGCCTGGACTTCTCTGAGTTTCAGAGGGTCGTGACCTCAGTGCATTTAGTTCCGAGCCATTCCGAGCCCACATGTGCAGCTCTCGTGCCGTGGTCAAGGTGCTCGAGATTCTTCGGGAGCGAGAAGGCTTCACTCGCGAGGAGACAGAAATGGCCATGTCCTGCATCGGGTCACCGACAAATCGTGTTTCCGCTGTGAAGTTGAACTCGGGCCAGAGCCCTCTTCTCAAGGAGATTGAGAGGATCGAGGATGCCTTCGACAAGTGCGACAGCGATGGCAGCGGACACTTGTTCAAGTTTCAATCTCAGCTCACGAGTGCGCCGGGTCTAAAAGCCCTATAGAAAGCCCTACGAAGTTCGCAGTCGACAGGACGAGGTGCTAGTTGCTGAAGATGCAGGGTTATCCGGTTGCGCACAGGGATGCTACGGGGCATTCCTGCATCCCCCGGTCAAGAAGGATCACTGGACCTCCTGGAGATTAGCCGCGTCCTCGCTATCCTCGGGTATTCCCGCGACATGAAGTACCAGGACCTGCTGGCTGAGGCCACTTTGAGTGGGGGCATCGCGCACACATAGCCATCCTTCATCATCGTAGGTGCAGGATACATGGAGTCGGTCGAATCGTCTTGTGGGTTCTAAGCTCCAGAGGCATGAAGCTGTTCTATATGAGCTTTGGTTCTGCGACATGTGCAGTTTCAGCATGCTGGGCTCCCCAGGTCGATACGGAGAATTCAAACCAATTGAGCAAGCGTGACTTCACGGTGCTCCGGCCCAAACCAAATGCGCAAAACTAGAAAAGTCGAACAGCTGTTCACAGCCCCTGACATCTTTTCGGGAACAGCCAAGGTGCTCATGCGAAAGATCCAAGAACGGAACACGCAGTATATAAAAGACTATTTCAGGCGCTTCGCTGCATTTTCTGGGGATGTGAGTTGCTTCCCGGGCACTTTTCTGGCCGTGACCGTGCATTCCGATTACATATGGCTTGGCGCTTTGTGCTGCTTTCGGCGTTCTGTGCCGTCACGGCAGCCCAGGGAGTGCGATACGGATGGAGAGCCTGGCCTGGACGCCAGGGAGATTTCCTTGCTTCTCCAAGCTCTGGGGTATCTGCCTGACATGGCATGCATCTTATTCGCAGCTGGCTCCTTGCATCGAAAGGCAGAGTCACAAGGGATGCAATCACCAAGGCATCTTGGAGACAATGCTGCAGCTGGGGTTGGACGACCCTGAAGAGGACGCATGGCATGGGCTTCTCTCAAACCGATGGAGTTTCCTGGGAAGTCCTGACAGTGAGTTTCGAGCCTATGCCCACGAGGATTTGGATTTCTCGCAAGTTTGGCGATTCCTGGAAATCTATCGCCGGCAGCATGGTGCCTTGTTGTTGCGGTTGAAGGTTTAAGGTGGTAACCTGCTTAGTTGAACTTTCTTGGACTTGCTTTTTCTTAGCTGTGACTCGACCCTGCCAAAAAGGCACTACTGTAAGTCCTGGAAAGCCTGGCCGTAAACCTACAAATACTCGAAGCCATAAACACCTTGAACCCGAAAAAACCGAAAGCCTAGAAGCGATTTGTCAAGAAACCCTCGAAGCCCCTAATTCTTAAAGCCCTAAAACCGTCCTAGAATCCCTAAACCCTCAAATCGCAGTTCGCGCCGGCTACGTGCGAGTGCGAGAATCGAAACTCTCAAATGCCTGCCATGAGCGCTGCTGAAGCCCTCAAAACTCAAAAGCCTTCACCCTAAGGCCGGCGGCAGAAAAGAACGGTCAGTTTCAGCCCCCGTGAGCCCCCGAAACCCTCAAAAAATGCCGGAAAACCGAAAACCCTATAACCCAAAGCCATCCAAAGCACAAAAACAATTTTAAACCCCCAAAAGCCCTGAATGTTTACAATCCTCAAGCAACCAAAACTGAAAATCGTAAGCGTTTAAAGCTTGCCTAAAACCTCGAAGCCCTTAGACCCTAAATCTTAAAAGCTGTAGACCAAAAAAACTCAACACACCCTGAAAGCCATGGTCCTAAAGCCCAATATCCTCTCGTAGTGGGTGCATGCAGTGCGGGTGGCAAAGAATGCCCAAAACGCAACGCCTAGAAGGCACAAGAAGCGGCACAGAAACAGTCACGGCTCAGAACATTGTTGGCACGAGGACGAGAGCCAAAACGGGCACAAACTAGGAGCGCTTCCATTTCCAACACAACCTGTGCAAGCGCCAAACGAGCTTTGTCCGTGTGGTCTCATCTCCCTCTCTTTCTCTCCATACATCACCGCCTTTTTGCATCTTGAATTGCAGCCCCGATCTGTCCGGAAATCTGGGCGGCTAGCTTCGATGGAGGAACTGTGCAGAGATTGCTAGTGAGATTCGGCAAGTCTATTTTCGGGCACGCAGCCATTCGTAACGCTTCTCTCTGGGTCCCTCCCAAAATCTCTTTGTTCATGAGCTCCCTGACATTGCATGCGCAAAACGACCGGTGGAAGCCCGCAGCCTAGCGTCGCCTGTGACATCCCAGTGACTATCCTGAGGCCTTACTCTCGGTGCAATCAATGAAGCCTTGGACATCTTCAAGAGGCAGGGCAACACCCATCGCGAGCCAGTCGGGGTGCAGGGAGCCGCTCATAGCCGCTCACAATACACATTCCTTGCTCCAGGTTCGCTGCCGACGACGACACTGTCAGCGTGGACTGTTTGCTCAAGATGCTAAGGATGATGGGTTTTGACCTGCACTACCACGAGGTCCGAAGACTGATGTACTTGGTCGAGTCCAGTGAGTCCAGCGTCATGAACGAGGCTTGGCCTAAAAACTTGTCGATGCATTTTCCAGTTGGGGCCTCACCTCCGTGTACTGGCAACAGCTCAGCGCAACAGCTGTGCTCTCTCATGTTTGCATTCGCCAAATGCTTTCGCCACATGCTTAGGAGAAGGAGTTTGTGATGGTCCTGGGCCACTTGCGTGACAGGGAACTGCGTCAAATGTGGAAGGTGGTCAACGAACCATGCAACAGCCCAGCCGCCCAGGAGATAAAGGAACGGTTCCTGGCTGAATTAAATGAATTTGGATCGGCAATGTTGGATGGCACGAATCCTGGCAGCAGCTCCTCTTAGCCCTTCCACAGCGAAGGTTCAACAAGGAGATGCTCGGCATCTCCAGGCACCGCGATGAGAAGTCCCATCGAAAGAAGGTCACCTTCATGGAGTTCATCCCTTGGGCCACACAGCTGCGCAACCAACAGCGCGAGGTGGTGCGTCGAAGGCACGGCTTCGGCAAGGATCCTTCTTGGACACAGTTGGGTAACATTGTACACTTTTAAGGGTACTTGAACCCAATAAGGAATATTTGTTTAATTTTTTATTAGGATCCCAACCATGAACTAGCCTTGGCTTAGGCATGAAGACCTGTCACTAAGCTATCCTTGAGCGCAAGCTGCAGATGCTGCCTGGGCAGTTCAGGAAGAAGTGGACGTCTTCAAGTGCGACTTCAACTCCTGTCAACGGGATGCGAGTGGCCGCATTCGGGCCAGTGATTTGAGGCCATTTTCGTCAATGCAAGTTCTGTGCAGGTGGTGGAGGTCATGCCATGGGTGTGCCTCTCTTGGACTTCTTTTGAGCAGTTTTGAGGCAACTGTTGACGCAGAAGTTCCCCATGCTCGCGACCATGAAGGACAATCGGGCCAAGCTCAGTGTCCCAGCTGTCCAGAATATGGCAAACATCAGTTCCAGGTGTAAGAAAGGCAGAGGCCACTTAGAGCTAGCTGACGCTGGCTGCGAGGTGAGATCCTTGCAGGCAAGGAGCCCGGAAGCCGAGTGGGATTGGATGAGTTTCTCGCGCTCTCACGCGTTTGTGTTGACATCGTCGAGCTCGAGAAGCTGAAGCGGGAAAGGAATGCCATTGAGCTACTGGGCTTCATACTTTCGGGGCAGATCATGTCAACAAGGTCCATGCCCAAAGCACATCTTGATACAGGACTGCCTAGCCAGCCAAGCATGCTAAATCAGTGCTCAACAAGCACTAGCTTGGGAATTTGTTGCGGCCCTCGTGTTCATGCGCTGCGCTGGGATGTTGGCCGAGGGAGAGGGACTTCACCCCTGCGGAAGTCCTCGAGTTCCGCAGCCTCTTCATGTCTCAGGCAACCTCCTCAGGGCTTCCAGGCACATACCGAAATCGCAACCTGGCGGCGCTTGGGCATTGGTAAGTTGCCGGTTCTTTGGGCCCTGAGGCGGAGGGCGCTAGTCGGGCAATGTTCCCATTGCTGTGGTTCCGATGCTAAGAGGACGCAGAACTTGAGATGAAGAGCCCAGGCCTCTCCTTCGATGAGCTGGTCGAGCACCTTGGCCTTCTGCGAGCATCTGCAACGCTGGTCTTGATGTAGAATTTGCTTGGCTACATGCTACTGAGGGTACTTATCAACACACGCCTTGTCAAGAGGGCATACCCCAACTGTGGAGCGTAGACTCCAGGTCATGTGTTCCTTGTTGGGGTGCGAGGCTGCGAGCCGGAAAGAGAGAGTTGTCTAGGACCCGTGCTTTACGACCCACCCCCGCAGGAAACCATCTAAGCCCTCAACCCCACTGCAGGCTCCTGGCGCGGGTGATTCCGCTGGGGTACAAGAACGCCCAGGTGCTACAGGGAGCGAAGTCGTGGTTGAGTACCAAGTAGTCGAGGTTTGAGGCGACCCAAGGAGATCCAAGAGATGGCGCAGGTATGTCATCAGCAACCCACCATACTTCAACAGATCCTTCACTTCGTGTCATTGCCGGATGCCGAATCCCTGAAGGTGCTGAAGCGCGAGGTTCGGCAGGTGCACAAGCATGGCCCCGGAGGGGACGAACCTTAGCATGTCTTAGCCACCTCGTCTTAGCCACCTCAGCCTTGTGACTCAGATGCTCTCGTCTTGCATATCACTCCCGCCTCATCGAATGCGCCGACGTAAAAGTCAATGCATGTCGATGCATTGGCAAGGGAATGCACTGACAAGGTCTGGAGGGATTTGGTACACATGTCGGATGTCGGAGGTGTGCGAAATCGAAAATCAGGATTCGGTCAACTTCGTCGAGTTTTTAAACTTGATGGAGCGCCTCCTGGCCATGAACTTCGGGGGCATGGCGACGTTGGGCAAGACTTCAAGCGACTGGGCCTGGTCAGTTCTGGAGGAATTTGACTTGAATCGGACCTGTTTTCCTCGCGTTTCCCCCTTGCGCATCGACCCAAGCCGCCAGCCTTCCAGGCATTACAGAAAGAGCTTCCGAAGACAAGCCGGAGTCTCATCCTCAAGGGGCCCAGGTGGAGAACGCCGTCGAGGTCTCTGCGTCGTGAGCTGCTCCGGTTTTTTAAGTCTTTGCGTCTGTGCACAAACGACGGCCGGTTACGGCCGGGAGATAATGAGAAGCGAGTGCAATGTGCCCAGCACTGGGCCCTTAAAGGGCGCACGCTGGAATTATCTGACACTGTGCATGCAAAGAAGTGCGAACTGCAAGCACTACGATGACTATGATGCTACCACTGCGCAAATAATGAGCACTTTGTTCCTGTTGCTCGGTAGCTTCAAGCATCGCACTTCTTCGCCAGCACAGGGTTTAATGAGTTGAATGAAGCCAGCCAACATGATGGCAGATGCCCGCCTGGCAATGCCCCCTTCAATTCAGGACATGCGGTTCATAAGATTGCAGACTGCCCCATCGATCTGTCATTGGCCTCTCCTTGACCTCATCGAAGTTGAGGCAGTCAATGCACATTCTGCGAGCAGCATCACACCATCAGTCGTGCGAGTTGTAGAAAGGTGCTTGCTTCTGGTTCCACATGCTTCCATGCAAGTCAAGTTCCTTGTATTCATGAACGGCTTATGGCTGAAGAAGAAAGGCCTGTGGCAGAGATGCCCTTCTCGGTCCGCTTCGGTGTGACAGGGAGTGTGTTGACCCTGGGCTTTGTCGGACAGCTCAGTACTCTTGCGCACCGCAGCTTGCATGGGTGCTCTCGCAGCTCTGCAAAATTGTGGTCAGCAGTCATGTACTACGAGATCCATGGCTGCCACTATCCACTGCAATTACAATATTATGATAGTAGAACAATAACAGTCGGCAGGGAATGCTGGTGGCATGTGCACCTGTGGACAATGTTCAGCAAGGTCATGATCTTCATATCGCCCTTCGACACCCTGCCCCTTTTCCGCGCCAGCCTTATCGATGGTTGCTGGTAGAACTGAAGAAGCAAACTCGGAGGTAGTATTTGTCCTTGTTGGAGGAACAGCATTGCACGTCTTGGCACTTGGTACTGGCAGCAGCCGCAGCATGATGTCCGCGCACCATAGGCATCGTAAATAGCAAGTATGAGGATATATGAGGATGCACTCACCGCCAGGAAGGTTGCATCCTTCTGCACTCACACCTACATGCACTCCTAACCTCGCTCAATCGCCATGGTTCTGCCAAGGCACTGAGATTGTCGATGTTAACGCATCTGTGGACCAACATGCACTTACATGTCTGCTGTATCAGAGCAAGTCGTTGGACCCAATGCATCTGTCACTGCATCTGTCAAACTCTGCACACATGCATCACATGCTAGCCAGCACCTCTGCGCTGTGTGCTGGAAACCGCGAGGTCGTGATAGAGAGGTGCTCGAGACATGTGACGCGCGATTTAATGCAGCGACTAGAGATTCGGCCGAAGAGGCGCATAAAGCCCCAATGGCACGAAAGATGATGATGAACATTTGGATGGATGAGTCTCGGCTCTAAGGTAAACCCTGCTACCCCATCTTCACCAAGGGCTTGCTTTCGCCAGTGTCTGGCCTCGGTCCTGGCACAACGGGTTTAGGGTTTAGAGTTTATTAAGTAATCTGATGTTCACGTTGTGACTGTGATCTTGTGTCATGGGATCATCATTTCCGTTGTTGTGCAAGATGAGGGTCCCACTATGCCTTTTGGAGGTCTTAGTATGGTCTTCTTTTGATACTCTTCTGATCTTTTTGGTGCTGTTTGGATAAAGTTATGATGTTCAAGCCCGAGGCCGAGATCAAATGATCCCCTCAGAGGAATCCCCACCTGATTACGCCATGCGATCGTTTTGCGACATGCTCGAGTTCTCTCAGGTCTACTTATCCTGGGTTTGTGCAACGAGGCCCCGCAGTTGCCACTGGGAAGGTGAGTAGGACCCGGCAAAAAAAGAGCACCCGCACGCGGTCAACCTTCCCAAAGCCGTACAAACAGCAAGAGCTTGCGCCATGTCCTGCCTTGTGTGTTACATACTGACGGTCGTCAAGTGCCCCTCTTTGGGCTCGGGCTCGGGAACGACTCGAATGAGAAATGCAGGCGCTGCTTAAGCACAACTAGAACTCGGCACAGCTGGTTGCGAGGGTATTGACGGACTGTGTTCATGCGAGAATGTACTGTAACCCTGTTGAGGCGGACCCCTTGGCCAGACTTGCGGCAAGGGGGTCACTCTTCTTGGCTGACTTCTCAGTGGCCTTCCCAAGAAAGCTGCATGCCTTCCTCAGATTTCTTGGGATGAGCCCCAGCATCTTGACACATGAACGTTCTTGAGAGGCAAGGTTAAGCAAAGTGGTTGACAGCAGCAGCAGCAGCAAGACACGTCTACACCAAGGCTGCCCAAAGAGTTTCTGCGTGATGGCACTCCCCGTGCACCCTTTCACCGAGGTTGGCAAGCTCTCCCTGTCCATGTTCTTGCTGGCACTGCCAGCGACCCAGCGTCATGGATTGGAGAAACTTCGGGTTGGACTCCCTAGTCGCAGCCAGTCGGGGCCGTACCGCGAATCCTGTCGTAAAGGCTGTTGTGGTTTTCAATGACCTGTTTTGGGTTTAACCCAGTAAGCCTCCATGAGCTTCCCGCTACTTGCAGGCTACCGTGTTCTAACTTTGGACCAGGTGGCTTCAGGCTTTTTAAGGTTTGCTGTGGGGCCAGAGGAAGGACCTCCTCAGTCCCATGTTCAGTAAACCCGGCTGCTCTAAATTCGGGTTACATCAGGGATGTTTATCATGGGATTTTTTAGACAAGGATCCTCTGTTCCAGAGCAAATTCAGGCCAGGCCCGAAAAAAGCCTTCTGAAGCACGGAGCCCTTTTCTCATCGAACTTCGGCCTTCGCCATGTTTGCAAACAGCCTGTGAGGCCTGTCCACATTGCTGTGGAGTCACTGCCGGGTTCTCAGGAAGCCTGGGAAGACATAGCAAGCATTGTTCTAAAGAGCATGCCGTTTGGCCCTTGCCTTCACCACTTCGCATGCTCTTCTATGACGAAAATAGTAGAGCGATCCTTGCTTGCCTTTCTATGTTGCTTAAAGAACTTCACCTCGTTCTCCTTTTGAATTGTGCCCGCTGACGGGCATGGGCGCAAGTCATGGGAACTTGCCCATACTGTCGGCAGACTTCCACGAGACCAACTGCAACAAGCCAGCAGCGGTCACACAGTTTAGCATGCTTTGCGCGCCTCAGCATGCCACCAAAAGCTGGTCGTCAACCTCCCAGAGGCTGCAGAGTAGGGATTTCGGCTTTGCGGCTTAGGCTACCTGCTAGAATCTGCTATACCGATTTTGATGGCAGCAGTAGCTGGGACTGGAGGAGCAGGGCAGTAACCTCAGAATCGGAGTACTGACAAAGCCTGTCTTGGACTGCGCAACTGGTTTTAGGGCTTTGGCACCTTACAGTCGTCCCACAAGCCCAGATGCCGGCAATTCCACTTGGGTAGGGGGAATGGGGACCACAGCTCATGGCCTTAACCAGTATATCTGGTCATCTCGTCATCTAAGGTCTGGATTCACCGGCTTTTCCTGGACTTTCTTCGGGGCGTTGCTGGGGTCGCCCTGCCCTTGGATCCAGTGAACTGAGTTCCAAGAATAAAGGGGGACAGGGGGGGTGTGTGAGGACCAATCCCGGAATCTTCCGAGAAAATCTTCACTGGGTCCTGTGAGCCTTCTGAAGTGTAGGCTTCCGAAGTTCATCAAATCCTTGCAATCTCCCACGAACTTGGGATCCAAACCTGTGCAGCTTTCACTTCAAGCAGCACCTAGCGAAGTGGCGTCCGTCCAAGTCATCTTAATGTGGCTGAACACATGGCTCATACAGAATGGCTGTTTGCCTTGAGTGCTGACCAGCCTCAATGCTTTTGTTGGCCGAAGCGCTGATGAGTTCGTATTTGATACAGCCCGCCGCACCTTGCCCATGCGCCCATTTCTCGTTGCATCCCTGATGGGAGGTCTGTGGTCGGGCACTTCTTGATTGAAGTTCCCTCGCAGCTTGGCTTCACACATGCTTGGTACACTATAGCCAAGACACTACTCTTGCTGATCCATTCTTCGTTTGGCTCGTTCTTCGAAGGATCAAAAGGTCTGTTCATCGCCACCTTGAAGGGCCTCAAGTCTGACTGCAGCTTCCAATCGCAGCCAGGCGCAAGTTTGCTGACTACCTGGCCCGTGCGCTGGCACAAAGGGCCTGGTGCCAAGCGCTCACAGTATCAGAGCTCAAAACATGAACAACACTAGCCAGCAATTAGCAATGCTACTAGTACAGATGAAGCGGCAAGCCCATCTTAGAGTTGCTACCCATACGTCCTTTCCGCCAGCTTTTCAGGATCACAAGTGAGGGCTGTTGCATCAATGCAACTTGTGAAGCCGAAGTTTGCGCTGTTCTCACTTTGTGTGTCGCGGGATTCATGCGATGCGGAACGATTCTTGGAGAAAGCGACCTGAAGATTGCTGCGTGTCATGCTTGCTTGCTTCGGGAGTTGGTGGCCTCGTCCATCGGAATGCTGCCACGCAGGCGACGACATGCTCCTTCAAGAAGCTGCACCGTAACGGTTAGCTGAGCGCCGGTGAACAGCCCTTAACCCTTACAAGCCCGGAACTCAAAACGTTTTTACCACCTGGTGCTGCGGAGCTCAAGAGTGCAGAAAATTGTAGCGGGTGGTGTTGATGGTTCGTGCGGCTGCTGCCGTAAACTCGGAGGCGCCAGCAGCTTCAAGCCACGATGTGCAGGGTTCGGGTTTCTGTGCTTCAGGGGAGAATCATGCTTCGACGCGCACACATGGAAGTGGCAGCGCAAGTTGGAGATTCATGAGCAAACCTGCCCGGCATTGCCCGGCCGCCGCAGCTTTGAGGCTTCGGGGTATGTTTGGATTACAAGCTCCATGGGGCAAAAGCTGCGGCCATGTCCAAACGCCCTTGCCAGCAGCGCATGCGGCACCAGAAAAAGCAAGACTGAAGACTCCCACACATACCATCACAGAGCAACACACGGCAAGCGGCAAGTGCGTGCTTAGAGGCTTCGGGTTCGGGTGCCTTTACATCGGTGGATTCTTCTCGCCTCGCTGAGCGATGACGAGCTGGAATTGACTGCTGGGCCAGGCGCATAAGATCTCGCACCGGCGGGGGTTGCTTTGTTGAGGAATGTTGAGGAGGATTTTCAGCAGCTGCTGTACTGGGCCTTCCACAATCTGATATGAGCTGCCGTTGCTGTTAAGGCACACGATCTAAGAAAGAGCGGCGATAAGTAAGCTGAGTGCCTGGTAGCCTAGCAGCTAGGTTTAGGTTTGTTCCGGTCGAGCCACGGGTTGTGTGCCCATGAATGCCGGTGACAAGGGGTCAACCCAGCGTTATGGACCTGTCCACTGCCCAGAGAGCCTGCACCTGAGCTTCCGAAGGCAGATGCTAAAGGCTTGAAGTCTAAAGGCTTTCAGGCTGTCAAGTCGCAGAAGAGAAGTGCGATCTACAGGATTTGTACCGAGCCCGGGGTTGACTCAGATTCCTTGTGGGCCATGTTTTCAGCTGGGTCGGCTCAGCCGTGCAATCAGCCAGTTCGTGCGTAGTTGGTTGCTATCCGCAGCTATGACTTGCCGAGGTTTTACAAGAGTTCCTTATCAAGCAAGAAGGCCGAGAGACGGCTGTGGCGGTGGAAGCAACGTTTGGAATTTGCAGTCCATTGCAGTCTTAAGCTTTCGCGTGCTGATGTTGGCAGGCTCCACGCTGCGAGCATGGATACACAAGCTCGACCCTGACCACGAACACAGGGTAACAGAGATGTATTTTCTGCGTGGCTCAGATGCAAGCTGAGAGCGCACATGTGTCACATGGTCACATGATGTGTATGGCTGACTTGCTGCGCGCAATGTGACAATGCGCATCCCTTTCAGTTCAGGATACATGCGGGAGCATATGCAGCTTGGCTTGGAAGTACTTGGAACCTTCTGCTTGAGCGGCTTTCCATCAAGCATGGTCAACGAAGCCACTCCAGGAAAACCTCTAAGAGGTTGTATAATAACCCCGCGGCTTGCGGTTTAGAAAGGAGTGCGCCCGAGTATCGTTTAGCTTGTAAAACGATAAGGAGTGAAAAAAAGATAACTTTCTGCAAGGTTTTTGTTGTGTGGCCCCGTACACGCCTAACACCCCTTACACCCCTCACACCCCTAATTCTTTAGGTCAAAAACGATAACAAAACGATAACCAGAACGATAACTTTTTGTTCACGATGGGGTCTGTTGAAGGACCTGGACCATTCCGGGGTTGAAGATGTGTGCCCTGTGGTGACCAAGACTTGGGCTTGGTAAAGACATCCAAGTTTTCTTCTAGCAATAACAGGTTCTTCCTACCAACACACACCAAAACCAACTTTGCGTTTGAAGCATGGAGCCGCTGGAGTTTATTGTAGACACAGGTTTGCCTACGACGTGGGAGAGCTGTACCAAGCTCTGGACCTTGACGGCGGCGGGGAGCTGACTCTGGAGGAAATCGATCCCAGAGCTGACCAACTCTTTGCCCCTTGGCGCCCAGGAAGTTGAAGTGTGTGTCAACACAAAGTTAAAGCTTTAGACAGAACCGGTTCCTCGTTGTCTTGAGATGCCACTTGGCTCGTCTGATCTTGTGCGGTTCGTGCCACATGTTTTTTTCAGTTCATCCAGTTCCAGAATAATGAGCACATGCTGAGGCGCGCATGTCTCGGTGTCTTGATTTTGGAAGGATAGCACCGCTGCTGAATATGATATATGTGCCGCTTTCCCACTCCCAGGACAGATTCCGCAGCTGGTGCTGCGAGAACTTTCCCGGGGGCTTGGACGATTGCCTCACGCGCATGGCCAGACAAGGTGATGTGAAGGTGGAGGCTCCTTACTAGGATTTACTTGCGACTCATGAGATCCTCTGGGGGTTTCCGAAATAAGGGGTACCTTGTTGGGGTCCGTATTATAAGGGGATCCTACAATTTGGGGATCTACATTAGGGGTCCCCGATTTTCGTACACCCCCATATAGGACGTTGTTGGCCTGCCTTCACACCTAGCATGGTTGCACTTATCTGAGGCTGTCAAAATCAACCTCTTTCACTTTGAGGCTGATCTGGCTGCGTGGGCTCAAAAAGATTGACAAACACACACGCACACACAGAGAGAGGTCCTGATTCGCCATTGTCAAGGCAAATATGATTTGCCATGCTTTAAGGTGGCAAACGGCTGGAAACATGGCTCGGAGGAAGAGTTGTTTTACGCCATCAGTGCAGACCAGAAGCACGTCGTGGCCAACGACATGCGGTGGTGCCTGGGACGAAAATCATCCCGTTCCAATTCACACATCCGTTTCACTCCACGGCATGCAGCCTAGAGATGTGAGACAGCTGCGCAAGCTTTCCACACTTGGGAGCGTGTTTCGGGAAGGCTCAACCTGGACATGCGACGCTTCAAGCGGAAGCTGAAGGCCAAGGAACAGGCCATGCACGAGACGAAAATCCGTGCAATCAAGCGTGGCGCCAAGGACTTGTCAGCACGCTCGGAGTGCATCCTGCCATCTAGACCTGCCTCTCCTCATGCCCAGAGCTCACACAGACATTCGTTCTGGTCTTCAGGACCCAAGAGAAAACTTAGCACCTCGGTGGCTCAAGTTGTGGTCCCTGAACAGCTTTGGGTTTTAAGTTGCACGTTTGTCGGTTGAGAAAACCGCACGTGCAGACTTCATGAGCTGGAGAACATGAGTGAGCGCGTGCGTGCGCACGTGTGAATATGTCGTCTGACGGTACTGCCCAGATACAGTACGCAACAAAGTAGCCGAGAGGCAAATGCGATGAAAGCATCGAACTGAGATGTACCGCTGCTGCCCCTTCACAGAGAAAGTTGAGGACCCAACCCGAACCTGCTGCTGCGCAACCCTCCGTTAGCCCAGGCAGACTTCAAACGCTTTCTGCGGCAAAAGCACGGTGGAAGTTTGCTCAGGGCCTGGCGCCAGTCACTCGTGGAAGGCAGCTCCAGTTGAAGCCTTGAGAACTTGTGCTCTTAGAGCGCCACTAGTGCCTTGTAAAAAACTCGTAAAGCCCCGCGAAGGAGACTCAATGATGCTTCACAAGGGGCAGTTCTTCAAGGCCCGTGCTCCCAGAACCTTCAGAGAGTCTCCTGCCACGTCCTCTCCGAACAGGCGTGTGTGAATCTCAAGTGGCGCACAGAACCTTGGCGTTGTTCAGCTTCTGGGAGCAGATATGAGCAGATGAAACTGGTCCAAGGGAGTTCTTGTGAACTAGGATGACTCGGGCTTAGGGGGCCCCGGAGATGACTGCAAGGCTTCTAAGCACAACTGGCCGCCGTCGGTAAGAAGCAGATGCTTGCTGGTCATACTTAAGTGGATGAGCACACGGGTCCATTCGAACTGTCAAACACCAGGATGCTTTACTGGAGACAAGTTTAAGGGATGTTGCCGTTCGTAGGTTGAATTGTAGGCAGTGGCCTTCTGCAGGCAATGTGCCTCAATACTACAGGTCAGGAAAAGTCGGGTAACTACATCTTGTGCCTCAATGCTACAGGTCAGGAGGCTTCAACATCTTGGCTTTCGCCCCACAACACAGGATGTCAAAGGCCTCTGGGAGCTACTCGACACGGACTCGAGCGGAACTATTGGCATCGAGGACTTTCGTAGCCGGGGGGGCTGGGGGGGAAAGAGGGGGCAATGCGGAGTTGTTTGCTGACCCCGTAGAAATGCCTCACATCCTTGACGTCAAGACCAGGAGTTAGACTTCAAGGCTGCCGAGGAGCTGGCACTCTTCCGCTTCCTGACACAGAATGCACAGCTAAGCTTCAGGATGTAGACTCAGCCTGCGAAGCCCCTCGGCTGACCCAAACACATTGCTGAGGTCAGTTCGTCATGCAGAAGTTTGGAAATGCTACTCGAACTTTTGCTGCACCTGCCCCGCAATCAGTTTCGTGGAGTCACGTGTCCACACGGAGCTTTGACATGTTCAGCGTGTCACGGCAATTGCCCTCATGTGCTCTCGCACTCTCACTCCCCTCTCCTCCCCCCTCCCCTCCGTTCTCTTGCTATTTGAATCCTTTCTCATTCCTGTGCGCTTTCTCTTTCTCTTTATCTTTCTCTTTCTCTTTCTCTCTCGCACTCTCTCTCTCTCTCTCTTATATCGCTCTCTGTCTTTACCTCTCACTCTATTTTTTTATTTTATTTATCTACCTCTCTCTCAGTCTCTTTCTCTTTCCCTCTCTCTTTCTTTTTGTCTTTCTCATTCTCTTTGTCTTTCTCTGTCTCTCTCTCTCTCTCTCTCTGTCTCTCTCGATCTCCGTTTCTCTCTCTTGTGCTTTGTTGTTGTTCCGACACGGCAACCGCATTCTCACGATGCGGCGCCATAGCCCTCCAAGCATGAAGAGTGAATCACAATGCCCAGGCACTGGATTTGGATGGGAACAAGACCCTTGGCCACACTTCAAGCCTGCGTTTTGAACAAGTAGGTCGCCATTCTGAGAAAAGCAGGGTGACATGAGAGTCCGTTGGCACGTCTGTCGCACTCGACACTGGCAATGACTGGTAGCATATCATCGTGGTAAGGAATGTCAGCGACGTGGAGTTCATGCAAGCGCTGAAAGAGTTTGGCTACGAGCAAAGAGACAAGCACCTTTTCCATGCGTTGCCCGGCACAGTTCTAATCATCGGCGGTACTTCAAGGCATGCGGTTAGCGTCTCTGCGGCTCATGTCTGATACTTGTTGCACAAAGATGTCGTGCCGATTGGGGAACTGTACATCCTGCTTCCGAGCATTTCCCGCTCCTCCTCGACATTCACACGACACACAAGGCTGGACAGACATGGCAAGAAGAAGATCAACTTGGAGGACATCTGAGCTGATGCCTAGGGCCACTCCCCGATTCCAGCAACACATGATTGCAACCAATCTCTTCGCCTATTCCAGCGATCATGTCGTGCAATGTTACTGGCACCTCGATGCACATGAGATGGCTTTGCGCCATGACCTGCCCGTGCATGATCATCCCAAGAAGCCTGCAAGTCCAAAGCATGCTAAGCCCCTTTCTGTCCCCAGGACATCCTCTTCCTGGACAGCTGGAAGCCTATGGAGTTCCTGCTTGCCAGTCCCAATCCCGAGGCAGCCCAGCTCTTCAAGCTCAGGCAGGGGAACGCATCTGAGTTGCTTAGGGCGCGTTTGCGTGCGAACTTCGGTTCCTACACCGTGCACAAACAATACTTATGATGCCTTTTGCGAGGCTGCGTGAGAAGTTCGGGACCTTCCTCCGTGCCTGGAAGATGCCGCTGGGCCACAGCTAGTGCACAGATGCTCCGTCCTAAGCACAACAGTTCATTTCGGCCTAAATGTGTGTGGTGGGGGCTCGCGTGGTGGCAATAACTGTCAATAACCAGGAGAAACAGATGCTGAATTGGCTTTGCGCAAAAACTGGCTCAGGCTGTTGGACCAAGACGGCAGCAACACATGTGACTGAGTTGCATGGGCGCAGTCCCTTTATCCCTTGAGCCTTTGACAAAGTTCTCGCTTCACGCGGGGGAGCTTTCTTGTCTGCCCAGTTTCTGTCCTCCAAGGCACTTGGGAGGAGTTCAGGCACACGTGCAAAAAGATTGGCACCTTGGCTTACCAAGTTCAGTCGGGCCACGCCACTCAACTCAGAAGATCAGTACCCTTGCAGCTCATTGTGCAAGCCAGGTTTCCGGCAAGATATCGCTGGTGCCTGGCGGGCACTTGATCAGAAAATGCAAGGATTGCTGAACTGGCTGCTTGTGTGCCAGTCGCATGAAGGTCCTGACGGTCATGTCTGCTCCAGCAAGAGATCACTTCTGATGCAGGAACCATCAGCTTGTCCGACATCGACCCAAACTCCAGCACAGTACTCTTGGCTTTCTGGTGATGCAATTATTACCGTTTCCCGTACGCTTCTGACGGTTTCAGAGACTTCCAGATAAGAGGCTGAAGATGCACTTGTGGCCTCATAACTTTTGGGGGTTTCCGAAAATTAGTGGTGCACTTATTCCTATACGGTTTGGGGGAGGAAAAAAAAAGGGGTACCCCTATTTTGGGAACTAACCATATGATGTTGCTCTGCCGTAGTGCTGTGGGACGGTGGAGGAAAAACTTAGGACTTCCGAACCTGGGCGATGGAGGAGTTTGGCAGCGTGCGCTCGATGTTTGCAGCGCCTCTGCTCGCAGTACAAGAGGTTGCTTCTTCTTGGCACCAGCTTAGCCTGGGCAGCTCGTTCCAGCATGTCTGTGCATTTCAGGTCTTCGACGAGGATGGCTCCAAATCTCTATCTCTGAAAGAGTTCAAGAGAGCCTGCAGGATATATGGTTTCCGAGGGTTCCTGAGCCTCGTCGAGCACCTAATTTTAGGTTCGCACGCTGCGGCTGCATTCATCAGACTCGGATTCCGCCATTCTCCTGTGCAGAGTGGCAAGTCGCTCAGTAGAGGCGCCTTCTCCTCGCACTTGACTTCCGCACGCACCAAGGAAGGGTCTTTTCAATATCCTGGATGGCACCGGCAGCGGCCAGTTGTCAGTGGAGGAGCCGTGGCAGGAAGCAGCATGCCGAACCCACTTGAACCCAGTCAGATCAGCCCCAGCAGGCCATGCAAGGCAGGAATGGGATCTAAACAGTTAACACGCTCAGCCGTGAGAATGTTGATGTGTTGGGGCGTGGATGCCCACATTTTTCCTTTTTTGGGGATGGGAATTTCTGTTCCGTGTGCGGCTGCTGTCCACATTGCATTCAAACACCACGCTGTGCATGATGGTAAGGAAATTGTCTTTCTAGATCGCTGGGCCACGCAGACCGAAGACGCTTCTCAGCACTTTTGCCGTGGGGATGCACCTGACCGGCAAAGGCATTTGCCTTTTCAGTCTCGAGATACATATGGGGGAATATCGCCGGATGAAATAGCTACAAAACACCGATGAGATGACTAGAAAGCCGCACTGTCGACCACCCTGTTGACTGGTGCTCTCGAACTTGAGCGCCACAGCTAAGTAGGAACGAACTCCGCATAACCCTGACAATTGATCGCCTTCAAGCATGCTGAGCACGCTCCAGCAAGGCGGACATTGACCGGGCGTCAGAGTCAATGTCACACCTGCCCAGACTCTTACTTGCAAGCTTCAAGCAGTTCTTGGCTCGGTCGTTTTGGGAGGGGTCATGGGCTTCAACATGGATGAGGTAGGTTTCAAACTGGCCTAGAGCAACTGCAGCCAAGAAGTACGGTGCTGAACAGATGGCAGAGATGCAAGCAGAAGAAGATTTCCTCGCAGTAACAGCAAAGATCTGCAGTTTTCCAGAAGAGTGGACGTCGCTTCCGAGGTATCAAGGCAGACAGCACCCCTGAGGACTTGGCAGCTCTCGGCCCAGGACCACAATCGGGTTCAATTATTTGAGGGGCTGACAGGACTTTGATGCAAAGGGGCATGCAGGGATTTGCGGCAGGGATTTGCGACGTTGGAGGCAGAGATGTGCAGATTTCGTCATGCTTTGGGAAGTTTGGACTTCGAGCTTGTAGCGTTTAAGAATTGGCATTGGGTGGATCTTGGGATGCCAAACTGAATTTGCAAAACGTCTAGTCGAACTGACGAGCCTGGAGCTCGCAGAATTCAGATGTCAGAAGCACGGTGTACCATTCTAGCATCCACCCCAGCAGTTATATAGACTGGGGGCGAAGCAAACCTTAGCTGGATCGGCAGGCATGTCTGTGGCCAAGTCGCTGGAGGCAGAGTCATTTTGCTGTCCGGCTTATCTTTCATGATTTAAGGAGCGGCTCTCCAAGCTTTCAGTAAAAGAGCGGCATAGAGCAAAAGCACCCATAGTTCAGCATACAATGCGACATTCTTCGAAGACAGGCAGTTGAACAGCCACGCCGTCCACACGCATATTGAAAAGCTGCTAGGCGGAACCCGGAAACGCAAGAAAGAAAGGCAGCTAGCTAATTACACAGGGTACACTGGACTGTTTTGTGCGAACCCCTCTATCCTGATCGGGACCGACGCTGCTGAGTAGAGGTATCACAAGAAGGAAAGAAGAGAGAACACTCCATGGTTCGGGACGCACTTGGGGCGGAACACTTGGGGGTGGACACTGGAAAGCTTCGTGAAATGTCGTGTGCGCGCGCATGCACGGGGCTTGCATGTTGCCACTACACTACCGGCAGTCTTGTCCAAAGTTTGAGCTGAGACACTTTCTTCGCCAATCCTCCTTCAAGCTGGGCGACGAAGATTCTGTTCCTTTGCCAGTAGACTCCCGCCGGAAAAAGAGCAAGAAAGCTTCAAATCATGTGCTTCTGTTGACGATTGAACAAGTCCAGAGAAGGAAAAAGCTGCGAATGCCCTCATGGCACAACTAGGAAAGACAAGCTCCAGGGGAAGGCGGTAGGTTGCAGAAGGTTGTAGGTAGTCGAGGCTCCAACTCTTCAACTTTTGCAAGAGCTCCCCTAAACCTGAAAAAAACGAAACCCTAAACCTTAAACCCTAAACCCTACCTAAACCTGCATGACAAAACCTCCTTTTTGCACAGTCGGAAGCAGGCCTGGCTTGGGTTCTGATAGGTGGTTGCGCTAGATCTTTGGGTGTTCCCTGGTGTAAATGGTTAGGTGTTCATGTTGTCTTAGCCTGCGAGAGGTGAGGTCTACGGGCAGGTAGTATAAGTAGTATACACGCCTTGCTGGTAGAATGTCGGGCATGGGATCCTCTCTTAGGGACCTCTTGGCGGCATAAGCTCGCGGGGCTTCTGGAATGGCCATGTTGGGGGTTGAGGCATGTGAGCTGCTTATGGAATTTCTTTGGTGATGGGAGCTTCAACCCCTTGCCGTCTGGTAGGAGTATGCCTCAGCCTGACGGGTGTTCTAGTTCTTTGCGAGCTGGCAATTTGATCTGATGGGTGTCTTGGTTGGGCAGGCAGTCTCCCGATTCTGAATAAGTCGGATAGTTGGGCTCTGAAGTTAACTGTACACAGCATTCCCTCTTCAGTTGCCCCGTGGAGCATGGCTAGACGGGTGGCAAAAAAACCTAAACCTTAAACCCTAAACCTTAAGCCCTAAACCCTAAACCCTCTGCAAGAGCCAGGCGGGGAGCTGGAAGGATGGAGACCTCCACCCTGCGTTTCGGACATGGGCCAACTGCCGACGCCGACGGCCCGTGCCCGGTCTAAGCATCTAAGTAGATGAGCCACGGTTTAGGGTTTAATTAGGGTTGAGGGTTGTTGGGAAGACATGAGACAACATGAGCCTCCGCCAGGAAAGTCGTTGGATTCGTTCCAAAAACTTCTCGACCTGCTGCCCCCAAGTGAGGTGAAAAAGCAGGATGGATCATTGCCGCCCTTGGCTTCACAGCTGGACTTCGGCGATGCACGTGTTGTGTGGGGCCTAACTCTTTCAAATTGAGAGCCGTAGGTCCTCAGTAGGTGTCCTGGGACTTCTTCCTTTAGAGCCGAAAGCTGAATGAGATTCAGGTCCGACGTCCTGTCCTCCTCATGGCATATGTGCCAGAGGCGCCTCGAAGCAGTCATAAGAATTGCAGATGCCCATGGCAAGAGAAGTTTGTGTAGACAGTCATGATTGGAGCCCGGTCCTCGACAAGCCAAGTCACGGGATCTGTCATTCTCAGCATGGTGCATTGTGCAGACATGCAACATGAGTGTGCTACAACTTCCACTTGCGCAAGAGACAAATCTTCAGTCATGGCCTGAAACATAGTGAAAAGAGGCCGTGTTTTCCTGGTGCCAAACCTCCTGAAGCTCAAGCGATCGCCTGTGTGATGTGACAGCCGGTCACATCATAAGCAGCATGCAGGAGGTCGCCTGCGAACTCCAATCCGCACGTCTCCCAAAGATTCGTCGACAGGCTGGCAGCTGCAGTTGCGAGATCTTGGAATCAAAGTGTGATTGGGCTTGTTGTCGCACCTCTTGTGATTCTGGGCTCAGCCCATCATGCTAATGTTAGTTCGCACTTCTCTGAGCCCGGTGTATGAAAGGAATTGGCAGGTCACGTCTATGTGAACTACTCGTCGTGGCAGAAACTTAGTCAGGAATCCAAGGTCAAAAAGTAACGAAGGCAGCATGACGTCAAACCACAAACCATGCAACATCAAATCCGCGTTGTTAAGTACCAGTGGTTGATGGCACCAGGCTCGCGAGGCCGGAGGCTGGAGAACTGCAAGGTGAGCACATTTCCTCATTCCTCAGGCCAGGGGCAGTACGATGCGGTGCGGGCTTGCGTGCTGCTGTGGATGACACGCCACGTGACAACTCCGCACATCGGCCCCGCTGCAAAGAGGAAGTAACTCCCCCCCCTATGCCAGTAGCTGCCACAGCCTGATCCCCCCCCCTTTAATGTTGTCAAGAGTGGCCCGGCGTCAGGAGATTGACTTCGAAAAGTGTCCAGTCTTGACTGGCTTTATTAGACAGCAGACGGTTGGCAAGGCGAATGGGTGAAGACCATCCGCGCCGAAGCTTGTCGTTTGTTCATTCAGAACATCTTTCCTCGGCAGAATTCTCATGAACAGGCCGGGTTCTCGCATGCAAAATCCAGGTACAAGAACTCTCGGATATAGTCAACCTATCCAAAGCTGCACATTTTCGCAGATGGTAGCCTGAAGCTGGCTGAATGGCATCCGCCCAGCAGTTGCGATCGCACTCGAACGCAACAGCGTGGATCTTTAAGGCGAGCAATCAGTTGCTGGTAGCTGCCATTTCCTTGATGTTGAGGCTACTTTGTAGCGCTCACTAAATCCTCTCGTAAACTACTTGTCATCACCTAGTGACAATCAGGGTTTGTCACCCTGGTCTCCAAAAGTCTGCTTCATGACGACAAAGGCCTCCACTCCCACTTCGGGCTTCGCGCGAAAGGGCGTGGACGCACGCACGTGTCTTTCCCAGGGCTGCATTGTTCCAGCACCCCTGGGAATTAGGCCATTATTCTGGCACCCTGCTGAGCAGAAGTTTCCAGAAGTGAGGCGACGGATCAGTGCTGTGCCATCTGCGGCGACAGAAGAAATTCTCGGTGACGATTTAGGGCGCCATCAGGGAGACCAAGCATCTTGACATGGGCTCCGATGTGCTGTAGTTGATGCACGCTGGCGGCTTCTGGAACCCGACCCCCCCTCCCAAAAAAAAGGAGTTTACGAAACTAGGGGGATCCCAATATAGACCCTTAAATGATAGGATCCCCTTATCAATAAGGACCCCAATCAGGTGTACCCCTAAGATCGTAAACCGCCAGAAGAGTACGAATCAAAGAAATCCAGCCTCGTCAGGCGCTGCTTGATGGCCTGGGAACCAGCACCTAATGCCGGAGCCTTTCATGGCCCGTAGGTTTGCCGTTGTCCTAGGGATGGGGCAACGGATGACTCCGAGCACCCGTGGCTCAATTTGTAGGCTTAGTAACCATGAATGCCAGTCCCGAAAGCGCCCACCACGGGCTGTCCTGGCCTCGTTAGGCGGAGCAGTTCATTCTGGGCCTGTTCAAGAAGCCACGCCCTCAGTAGCGATGCACAGACTCACGACATTGACTTTGAGAATGGTATTGTGGGTGGTGCGATGTTGCGGTTGTCGCACTAGGTCAACCGGTCACCATGCGTCTGCATTTAGTCTTGAGGCATCCTGACCGAAAGAGGGAGGCAGACCGCTTCCTGAATGCCTTTGAATCCAAGATTCGCGCCAGACGCCTGGCAACAGCATTTTGCTCTTATCCGAGGCAACTGTTTCCACATTTTCCTTCCCTCTCCCTCGCAGCCGAAGCAATAGCTCACGGCTCTCTCCAACGTTTAGGCCTACGGTGGCAAGGTGTGCGTCCGGTAGGGCACCAAGAGACATTTCTCTTGCTACACTCTACGCGCACAGATGCTGCCACTGGCCCGTAACATCGCGGGGTACTGTCTCCGTGCCTACTCTCCTTATCTCTCCTTGATCATGGGAGTGTTGGCGACTTGGCATACTAGCAACGCGTCAGGTCCGATCAGGCGGACCTGTGGGATGTCATGGATGGGAAGGACCACAACGTGGAACCGACCTTACCTTTTCCACGGGTGTGGATCGGCATGGGCATGGCCGGAACATGCTGGAACCTGAGGAACCGAACCACCTAAACCCAGCCGTCTTCGACTTTGAGACTGTTCTTGTGGCCAGCTTCAAGGATCTAGAAGCAGTCGAAGCCCCGGAGCAATGAAAGAGTTCGGAGCAACACGTAGGTGCGCGGTGTCAGGTCCATTCTTGGTGGTCCTCTGATCAGGCCCTTGGCTGAGCCAGGGTCACCAGCAATGTTGGACGCGCGTTGCTGGTCCCCACCCTAAACAATCGTTGACCTGTCCTGGTTCATGTCCGCTCCCCCCCTCAAAGAGGGGCTTGGCAATGCTTGGCAAGTGTCTTCAACTGTTAGCAGCTCAGCGGGACGCAGCGCACGGCGTGCTGCAAGAAAGGTTGTTCCGCCTCCCGAACTTCGACATGTATTTGTGGGTCAATGGCATCTGTGTGGCAGGTCTTCGAACTAATGAAGCAAAGAGGTCCGCTGACGAAGATGGGTCTTCACACAGTCGATGGCCACGAGCCGAGGAGTAAGCCTGTAGAATTGTAGAAAAACGAGTGCATGTCGAACGTCCGCAATCAGGCCTTGCACAGGGCTTCGAGGGGACCAAGAAGCGAGCCGCAATGGGTACCAAAGCTGCATCAAGCATGAAGCCGGTTTCACACTGCCATGGGAACCATGTTCAACTTCAAAGCTTGTACAACCGCGAAGGACAATGCATGCAGATGTTCAGGTGACAAGCTGATGCTGCTGGAGATTGCCAAAATCGACTCGTTCAAACCGTGGAAGCCTTGTTGTTGGCAAAGTCTCCATGTTACAGTATCATGCCTCATTCTTGACGTAGCATGAAGAAGCATTCATGAACAGGGCCGTCTCCTTGGGCATCCTAGTCTCGGGGCACCCGAGGATTCAGCGATACGTGGACATGTACAAGCGACTGGCCGCCAAGGCCAAGAAGGGCTGCTTGCAATGATGCAGATGAAGACGTATTCATCCCCAGACACTTTGTAGCTTTCAGCTTTGAAGGCCCACAAGGACATCGGAACTGCTTGCAACTTGCTGTTCGCAGAAGGTGCGGCGCCAAACGCCTGTTGTGCAGCCGTGATGTTTTTGTTTGTGCAGCCCTGGGCCAGTCAGTGCATATGTGGCCGAGGCATCAGCGGTGTTTTGCTGAACGAGTTTCCGGTACAGGCGGCGCAGAGCGCAGAGTCATTTGCCCACATTTTTTCCCTGCTTTCCTGCCTTCACCGCAACCCTCCTACCCTGGCGATGGCAGCTTGATGACCTGTAACTGGTTGATGCTTGCGGGTGCTTCACCTTGCGGGGGAAGGCGATTTGTGCATCCTGCTGGCGAACTAGATCTGACCTCCTTTCTTGGTGCCTTGAAGACATCAGTCCAGAGGATTGCGATCCATGTGGTTCATCCCAGTTAGTGCATCACGTGTCTGTGCTTCTGCTTGCAGCAGGACAACCAGTCCCCTTCCCGTTGCAAGGTACGAAGCTCCAAATTACCAGCAGGATCTCATGCCCTTGAGATACGACTTCGCTTGGCCCTCAGTCCTCAGAATGAAAGTGTCATTTCGCAACGTGACCACAGCACACGTTCACCCCGCCTGGACTGTTCTGGTCCATGCGATGACGTCTCAGCAAGGCAAAGTGTTTTGCTGTGGCGGTCCCCATGTATGAAGACAGAAAAGAAACCGGCGACGGCGACAACTTCAAGTGGGAGCCCAAGCTCGTGTTTGCAGCGTGGGGTTTCTTGTCACTTGTCGGTCGCCCCCTTTCTCCACAAGCTGCTTAGAAACTTTATTAGCGCAGGAAAAATGCATGAAAAGCTCGTCAACACTTGTCGCATCTCATCAAGCACCTCTGCTGCCAGCCACAAGGAGAAGAGCGTCTGCAGCTGCTGGGATGAAGCTCAGGGGGTTGCAGGTGTGATGGTCCTCAGTTCAGACAGGAGGATCGCAGGCGGTATTTTCTACGTTTAGCCACTTTTCGGTGGGAGCGGATCGCATGCGAAGCATGGAATCTTGTGATCACTGAAGTGGTCCAACAGCCACTGAAACTGCGTCTGAAACAGGATAGCACAAACTCGCAAGCCGGGTTTTAGTGTCTCACCCAGCGGGCTGGGTGCATGTGCTGGAATCTTCATGGTCCGTTCCAAGCTTCTTGCAACCTGAAGCTTGCTTTTGGGCTTGTACAGAGCTCAACCAGAATTCCGCTTACGCGGGCTTTTCTGACCAGATTCCTCAGTCAGCCCCAGGATCCCCCGTGACACAAGGTTCCTAGCAGGAGCTCAGTCGATGCCTTTGTGTCCTAACCGGCCTCATGAAGGCAATGCTGGCTTACGCGCCAAAAAGCTCATAAAGTGGCTCCGGCGATGTGGAAGTGCCAAAGATCTACGTGGCCTAATGCACATCAGGAGCTGAGCACTTGAAGGGATAAGATGGCTGGGGCCAAGCTTTAAACCCGAAGACCTAAGGCCCGAAGAACCCTCAAATCTCCGGCCATGAACCGCCACTGCGCAACACGCTGCCAAGCCTTCTTATCAAAGGGGCAGTGTGCTTCTTCCAAACAAGGATGTACCACCTGCAGCATGCCATGCCTCCATGCAAGCTCCAACCTCACCAGGCGTTAGCCATCTGAACCAAGCACAGAAAAGCCGGTACAGTGCAGAAAGCTTCATCCCCACGCCAGTGCCGGGCACGTGTGTGACTTGGGATTGCCATAGGCACTGCCAGCAGCATGGATGCCCCGGGATCACTAGACATGCACTTCCACATGGTGCAGGTGGGAGTATCTCAATGCTTGCATATCGAGATCTAGCTCTCAACATCGCAGGTGCGAAATACGTTCTTGGAGGTTCAGACGCAGGAGGACCAGATGACAGTCTTGTGGCACATGGCACACAGAAGTTGTACGAAACACGGGTGGAGGGTGGAGGAAGTGCCATGTCGTAGGGATGACCCCAAACCTGAAGACCCTTAAAATTCTGGACATCCTTAAACCTCAAACTCCTAAACCCTTTAAGCCGTCCCAAACCATCCTAGAGCCTCGGAGCCCACAGTCGCTGTTGCCTCTCTCTTCTTGCCTTGGTTAAAGAAGACAGGACGTGGAACGGAAGTCTACATCTTCGCGGCCACGCTCCAAGAGCTGGACTGGCTCCTCTTCCTCCAACAGCTGTGCCTTCGGCTCACCAAGAAGAGTGGAAGGATGTGTAGGTAGGACACGCCAAGAGAAACTTGCAAGAAAGCCGACGCTATGTGCTGCAAGTCGTGCTCTTCAACCGACTGGCGCACGCAAGTGTCAACGCAACTTCAAAACCGCAAGTTGGCACGTCTCGACGCATAAGTTACCAACGAAAAGTCAAGCTGACTAAAGCCGAAGAGTGAGTACCGGCGACGGCTAAGCCTTTGCTCAAGAGCCTTGTTTGTAGCTTTTATACCAGCAGTGACAGCAGTGGTAACCCAGGTAATGAGAACAGTTCGGCAGATGCCGAGAAGGAGCAGTGGTATGCCGTGACCACGAGTGGACAGGAGCGCTGTGAGTGAGTGCATCTGTACAAATCGTGCCCATTCCGTGAAAGGGCCGATCACCTTTCTGTTTGCAAGCCTTTCTCGAATAAGATGGCCCATGCACTGCACAGCTATTCAGAGACATCGGCACAATGTATGCGGCAGGCGCACCATTCGGTCTTCGAAGAGACCTTGCCTCAGTGTATCCAGCGATGTGCTCTAACGGCGATGTGTCGATTCTTTCTGTTGTTCCACGTCTTGCCTCAGCTCCGACTGCAATTGCGTCAGATAGCTGTATGTCAAACTGTCCATTGACTCCATCCTGATCCATCGCAATACTCCTGGCCATTGCTGTCGCTGAGAATGCTGAGTGCTGCGGTGCGGTCAAGACCGTTTTTTTGCAGAACGTCAAAGGAACTCTTCTTCAGCATCTTCAGCTTTGGAGAGTGTGTCCACGTCCTGGGAGAATGCCCTGCACGAATTCAACAACAGCCACTCTGTCAGCAAGACCGTTTCCCCAGATCTTATCTTTTCAGATTCTGGACCCGTTAAAAGCGGTTTGCCCTGGATTGTTGTGCCACGCTGCCAGGTGCAGCGCCCACCACGCGCCGGCTGCAGCCTCCCCTGCCGCCTGCACCTGCACCGAAGGATAACGCGCAAGCCGCGCAGGCGGTCCAGAGCCGGATTGAGGCGATTGAGGCGCAATCCGAACATCAACCGCACAGAGCCGCACCGAACCCTTTGGTCCGAAGCCGCGTCCTCACTGCTTCAGAGAGAATTCAGAATGTCAGGAGTTCTTGGAAGAGGATTACCAACCGCAGTATGGACAGTCGATCGGCGCCAAGGCGCCGTGCAAGTGAGATCAGATTCCTCTCCTCTCTCGCTGTAGAAGCCACAGAAGCCCGCCTGCCAACAGGGGCATGGCCGGGGGAAATGCACACCGTGTACAAGGATCTTGGTTAGACCAGGCTGGCTGCAGAGTTTCGCGCTGGGAGAGCATCGAACGGGATTTCACGGCTTGTCTGCTGCCCACTATTGCCCACTGTCCCTCTCTCGCTCGCCATCCCTCCCTCCCCTTCGATAGTTCTTTAACTTTCTTTCGGTCGCACTCGATCTCGCTCTGGGTGCTCAAACCTGTCCTTAACTGAAGCCTACGTTGTCCTTACGCCACCCCCTGAATCACGAAGACCGAGTGCTGAGAAGCTCACGTGAAGCAGACTGGCAGGATGCGATTTCGGTGCCCGCTGCATGTTTTGCCACCTTGCAACTTAGCAGAGAGTTCGACCAAAGAAATGTTCTTGGGCGTGCCATGGGCGACGTGGTGATTGATGAACATGATAAGGAGCACTCGCACCATACGGACAGCAAGAAGAACCGCCATCGTCCATGCAAAGCAGCACGGCAACAGTACAAGCAAACAATCCAGAACCTTGGTCGCAGCTAGAAGCGCATCTGCGCAGCCTTCGTCGGACCTTTGTCGCCCGTCAGTTTGCTCACCATGGTTTGACGCGGCTTGGCTTTTTGCAGCTTAGGAAAGTTTACGAGGAGTACAAGGACAAAGCCTGGGCTGCTGCCAACCCAACTTATCATGCAGTGTTGCAGTACCTCTATTCCCGAGCCAACGAGGTTGTCAACACTTGCATACAAGTTCCGCTCAAGCTACGCTGCAAGGACAACCCTGAGAGGAAGAAGAAAGCTTTGGAAAAGCTCCTAAGAAGCGTTAACACGCTAGCGTCCACACTGGGCCTTGTGCATAGAGAGCGAGGGGGGAGAGAGAGATGCCACCACTGCTTGTGGCATTGCTGCCCTGCTTGTGGCATCCCCCGTCCCTGCTTAATTCGCATTGTCCTGCCTCGCTCTGCAAGGATTGCAGAGACAAGCCCCTACATGCGAAGCCTGTTGAAGGGCTTGGGGGAGAAAGATGAAGATGAAGTCCTGGCACGCCTTGGACAGGCTGCGTCTTGCTTTGAGAAGTGGCACAAGGATCACAAGGATCACAAGGATCAGCCTCTTTTGAGGGTTAGACAGAAGAACTGCCCTCGACGGCAGCTTGCGGTGGGTTTTTCGCCAAGGTGGAAGAGGAGCTATCAGCTCCAAGGGTTCCTGGGCTCCAGCCCCGCGGCAAGATCTCTAGAATAAAATTGCGAGAGGTGTTTTTGGGTGGTGAACTGTAAAATAGAGAGGAAATTGAGGTTTCCTACTAAGGAAAGAATTTCCTTACGGTAAATACAAAACACCTAAATTAACTTTCGAGCCGAAATACTGGGCTGTTCTTACATGTGATGCGTAGGAGTCCTGTTTTTTCCACAGGCTGTGGACTTCTTTATGTTTCCGTTGACGGCAGAGTGTTCTGGGGCGTGGTCTAGGGTTGCAAAGCGATGCGGCGACTTGTGATAGATAGGTTGAGGTCACCCGAAAACAGTTGATTGCTCTCTTCCCATTCAACGGTCGGACAAACCGGTACAAAATCGTGACTTGGACAAAGGGCTTACTTGACGCATAGCACATTTTTCTAGCGACAAATTGACAGGCCCTAGACGCGCAACGCGCTTCTGAAGGCCACCAGGCGAAGTGCCGCTCAGCTCCGCATCAGCTGCATCAGCCTCGGCATCTTCGGCATCTCCAACTCCTAAGTCTCAAGCGCCTCGGTGCAACGAAGCGTCAAACCCTGGGCACTCAGATTCTTGAACCCGAAGTTCGGGCTTCATGCGGCTTCAGGGGTCTGAATCCATGTGGTTCGGAGAAGTGGGGACGGCAATTTACACATGTCTTGAAGCGTCCCATTCCTCAGAATGCTCACATGCTCACCACAACTAAGGGTGGCAAATCTCTCATTTCTTTGTAGCGCTCGACGAAGTCGCAAAGGCGCCTTGCGCTGCCAACCGCTTCAGGTATTTCAGGCTTTGCGCTTCCACGAGGCAGCCCTTGTCATAATGTGGTGTCAAGGGCACTTGACGCTCCCTGATTCAGATTCTAGTCCCTGCTTAATTCTAGGAAATGAGTTGACATTTGGAGCCGTTTTGGCCGTTGCAATTCTTTGCCGATGTCCTTCCTTTCTTCCATCTTCCGATGAGGTCCGAGTGCTGCGCTGCTACACCGTCCCTGGTGAGAGGAGTTGTAAGCGCAAGGTTTCGGCAAGAAACGCTCGCAAACATGCCCCACCGGGTTCCCCCAGGCTTGCTGGTTTGAAGCCTTGCACCCAAACGTTCGACACAACCTACAACATTGATAGACTCGCGGGCAGGGCGGGACCCGGTAGGCAGGCTTCAGTTTTTGGGACTCTGTTTGTGCATGTGTGCGTGTGTGCGCCAGTTGCGTCGGCTTGCCAACAGCAAAAATGCCGGGCATTGTTTAGAAGGCCAATATACTTGGTCTCTGCGACTTGCTGTCATCACCTCTCTTGCGTATCTGCTTTTGCAATTGGACCTCAAGTGTTTGAATTGTCGCCGCATGCTTGTGTGATCTCAATGGGTGAGGTCCTGCACGTAAACAAAGGAGACACCAAGCATGCTGCTGATGACTTCTCTGAATCAGCTTCCGTCCAACATCACCAGCGAAGCCCCTTCTCCAAACGCCACAGACAGTTGCACACTCAAGTGGTTCTCTGGCTTTGAAAGACACTGGTGTGGGGTGCGTGGAAGCACGTCTTGCTTGACAGTTTTGACTCATGTTAGCGTTGTTTTCTGTGCACATGCCAAGATTTCGGGCAAAATCAGGAACCATGACTGCCACAGTGCCTTCTGTATATTTGAACGAGTCTCAAGATCAAGCGACTCAAATTCTCGTAGTTCTCGCACCCTTTCACGATGCAGGCTGTTGCTGTGCCACTCGCATTGATTTTCCATGGCCAGCTCGGTGAGTTGTCGTCATCCCATACTTTGCCGGTTGCCCGCCAAACGGAGGCCCGTATGCTCGTATCACTGAAACTTTGAAGCAGTTCTCAAAAGCCTCCTTTGGGCTGGGCCGGCCGTGCAAGGACTGGACTAGCTCGTCTAGCGACCTAAAGTAAGGTCCCTCACGTTTAGGTTTGGCATCATCAGCCGCACTACAGCAGAGTGGCAGTCAAGCCAAAATGCTTCCATTCAGGGCACTGGTACAGCAGTGCAGCTGTGAGGCGCGGCCTTGAAAATCTTTCTCAGAGTGCAGAGTATGCTTTTCCATCGGCTTTGACAAGCTTCAAAGCACGATCGACTTGTCTGCCACGAAGAGTCAAACCCACTCAAAAGCAGTCCGCGACCATGAGTTGGCTTGACTTGTACCCTGGACCTTGTTGGGGTTTTCGGTTGGCTGTTTAGCGCTTAGGGTTGTGTCTGAAACTAACGCCTCCGGTCCGCCCGGCTCGGAATCGGCTGGCTGTTCAGAGCGTAGGGTTATATCTGAAATTGATACTGATATTTTGTAGGAAAATCAGAATTTCTCATTGGATTCAGAAGGTAAATATTGAAAACCTTTTCGTGGATATGTTAATGGATTCGTTCGTGGACAAGATTTAGAGATCAATTTCGTGAATACTCACTGATAATTGCTAGAAGGATTATTCATAGTTTTATGATAATTTGTTGTTTGAAGAAGAAATGGATTCTTAAATTATTCATGAA